AAACTGCTTCTGTAGTTGGATAGCCATTCACAGTCTTTGTTTAATCCTGATCTGATGGTGTCAAATTTGCAAATGAACTGGAGCTCAGCAGTTTCTCTTTAGAGTCTGGTCCTGAAGTTTTTTTGCTGTAAGATGGCTACCTTTACATCTGCTATTGTGTGGCATTGTCCCCTCACAGTCACTGCTGACCCAGTGCCTCACATGGCACTAGGGGGCGCTGTGCTGCAGGGGTGGGATTGGGGGGCTCAGTAGGGGGCACTGTCCCCTCACAGTCACTGCTGACTCAGTGCCCTGGCATGGCACTAGGGGGTGCTGAAACACCATCAGTCTAGCAGCTTCCTATTCCCAGCGACCCTCCCCAGAGAGGAAGCTTCCCCTCGCCCCCGAGCTCGCCTAGAGGGGAGTGAGGGTCGCACCCCCATTCACTGGGCAGGGCTGGGTCACTGGGCCTGGCCCGGCTCTGCGTGCTGGGTGGAGGCAGAACCATCCCGCTGCCAGCGCATGGCCCCAGTGGGCAGCTCGGTCTTGGGGAGCCTGGTGCCCATGCTGTACCTGGGTGTGGGGGCTGCCTTTGCTCCCTCCTTGGCTCGGGGACCCCAGCCCCCACCCCCGCTCCCCTCACCATGCCCTGTGCTTGCTGCTCCAGGTCTATAACCCGCAGCGCTTCGACCCAGAGAACTCCAAGAACCAGCCCCCACTGGCCTTCATGCCCTTCTCTGCTGGACCCAGGTAACCTGCCTGCCGGGCTCAGAGCCCCTCGCCGCACGAACTGCCCCCGCCCAGCTGCCCTCCAGCGAGCAGCTCCCTGTTGGCGCCCTGGCTGCAGTGAAGCATTGTGGGATACACAGGAGGTGGCCTCTGGTCAGTGCTGGGGTCAGCTGTTATTGCTGAGGATCTGTCCCTTCTCCCACAGGGGGTTGGGCTCCCCCAGCATCTGTCTGTCTCTGCTCCCCCATCCCTGCCCTCACATGGCGTGTGGTGTCCGGGCGAAGAGCACCGGCTGACACACCTGGCTCTCGCGCAGGAACTGCATCGGGCAGAACTTCGCCATGGCAGAGATGAAGGTGGTGCTGGCGCTGACGCTGCTGCGCTTCGCCGTGCGGCTGGATGAGAGCAGGCCTGTGCGGCGCAAGCCCGAGCTGATCCTGCGCAGCGAGAACGGGCTGTGGCTGCATCTGGAGCCGCTGGGGCCCAGCCATGAGAGCCGGCCCTCCGCACCGCGCTCCTAGGGCCATCCACTCCCTCCCGCTGCGGGGGATCCAGCCTGCTCCACACAGTTCAGGGGCCTGCTGAGTGGAGGACCAGCTGGGGATCATGGTGGAGCCAGCTCTCTCCTCTAATCTAGACCAGCCCTCTGTACCAAAGGAGGCGCTGTGGGGTCCAGGCATGGGGCCCCGAAGGTGCTGCAGGCTCCTTTCAGACACCAGCTGCTTAGCCCTCCCCCACTTGCCCCTGGGAGAGGGCGACAAGTGCCTTTCCCCAGCCCCGCTGGATGCCCACGGCCACCTCGTGATTCAATGTCAGAGCTAGAAATGGAGCCCAGCAGCCTGGCTCCCAGCTCGGCCCACTCACAGCCTGGGCGACCCCGTGGCCTGCGTTCCCTGCCCCCACTGGCTAGAATCAGGGTGCCCGGCAGTTCGGCCACTAGTCTAGGATGTGGGAGACCCATGTTCAATTCCCTGCTCTGTCACAGGCTCCCTGTGTGGCCTTGGGCAAGTCACTCAGCCTCTGGCCCTCAACTCCCATCAGTGCGAGGGGCTAATGGCCCTGCCCATGGGGGGTGAGGGTAAATGCAGTGGGGGGTGAAGTGCCAGATACTTATGGTGGGGCATCTAAGAACACGTGGTCAATAACCCTAAATGCTATGGGTTTGTTAGTGGATCAGCCCCTGCGTTCCCCCCAGCCCAGGGCCAGCCCCTCTGTGTCCTGATGCTGCTGCCCAGAGCTGAAGGTCTGGTCTGTCTCTCACTCCCCTTCCCTGGAGGGTAGGACTCTTCCCTCCCGCTCGCTCCCCCTCTGTCCTGCTCCCCCCACTTCTGCACTCAGCAATCCACCTGCCTGGTCTGGGGCAGGAACAGCTGAGAGGCCTGCGGACAGGTGGCTCCGTGCTCTGGCCGATCTTCCTGAGGGGCCCCCAGGGGCCCGGGTGAGAGCTTCTGCCTTGGCCTGCTGTGGGTGGCTTTGGGGTGGGGCAGCTGCCTAGCAATCGCAACTGCTGCCAGCACTCACCCAGGGGAGTTGGGGCAGGGAACCTGTACGTGCCTTTGTTTCCGTCACACACACACGCCACAGGGAACACACACACACAAACACACAATGGGGAATTGTACTGCCAGAGTGGCCAGGGGGGCTGGCTGCAGTCCCAGCAGGGACCCGCTCTCTGCCACAGGGAACTCATGGTTCAATGAGACAAACAATGGTTGAGGGCAGGGAGGAGGGGGCCGGGTGTGGCCCCTGCGGTGGCTGGACCTGGAACTGGGGGATAGTTGGTTTCATATTTCTACGTTCGTTCCGGAGCACGGCAAAGTCCAAGGCCCCTGCTGCAGGGACGAGGCCACGGAGCTTTGGGATCCGGCCTCGGGGTTTCAGGATCTGGCCCTCGAATCTGGTCACTGAGCTTTGGGTTCTGTCCCCCGGCCACATGGCGGCAGGCTTCAGCCCTGGTCTCACCCCCTCCCTCCCATCTCTCTGGAGGAGCGAGGGCGGGTGTAGCAGGGCGGCCCGGAGCGCGGCTGGCAGCCGCGGCCGGCAGCCGCGGCCGGAGGAGCCATGGGGAGGGGGCGGCGCGGCCGGAGGAGCGAGGGGGGGCGCAGCATGGCGGCCGGCAGCCAATGGGGGGGGGGCATGGAGCGGACGGAGGAGGAGCCAAAAGGGGCGTGGCCAGAGGAGGAGCCAAGGGGGGGGCGCCTTTTTTATGTTTGCTCCCCCTACTCTTAGATCTTGGCTACGGCACTGGCCAAGGGTCTTCTGACTCTCGCCCCCAGCTGTGAGGCAGCAATTGCTGGCCCCAGGCTCACCCACCCCCCATTGCCCCGACCCACTCTGCCTCCTCCGGCCCTGGGCTTTGTCCACATGCTCAATCCCCTAGCCATGGGGTTTCAAGCTCAGACCGCGGGATCCGGCTGCGGGGCTTTCGGCTCTCTGGCTCCGGCTCTTGGCCATGCAGTGGCAGGTGCAGGCCCCTAGCTCATCCCCCCACCCCCATCAACTTTGGCCCCTGCTGCCCCTCCCACTCCCCCCATTGCCCCTGGCACCCAGTGCCTCCTCCAGCTCCCTATCCATTTCCCCGCAGTGCCCTGGGCCTCCGCTGCCTCCATACCCATCTCCCCATCCAGGGCTTAATTTGTCTTTGTGCTGTGTAAGTGCTGTGAAAAGTGCTATTTGTACGTTTGGTGATGTCACTTTTCACAGCAGACTGAGTGGTTAGCTGGGAGTCTGGGAAAAGTGATATTAACATACAACTATCACTTTTCACGGCAGCAGATTTACTAGCTCGCCAGGCTAAAAATAACCAAAGCAACTAAAAAAGCAAAAGAAACTACAACAAAAAAGACAAGAGCGTGCAAAGCAGCGTGTTTGCGTTTCTATTCTGTTTAGGGCCAGTAAAGAATAAAGACAACTGGACTTTATTTGTATTATTCAGTCTGCAGAAAAAAACCCCAAATCCTACATAAATAAATTACACTGATTTGGACATGGGTCTGTGCATATTTGTTTATTTTTCCTAAAGTTAGTTAAGTATTTTAGGAACAAGAGTCGCCGCCGCTGGTGAGGGCCCCTGCGGAATGGTCAGGGTTAAGAAAATTGGGGGAGATGAAAGAACTGAGTGTTGACCTGCGAACGACTGATTCGTGTAACACCGGGGTTGTCCAGAGTCGCAGTGAACACCTTCGTGTAGTGATCTCTAGCCGTATTCATTTTCTATGTGGCAAAACGGAGCAATTTATTTAGCCATCATGAACTGGTTTGCTTCATTATTAATGCATTGTGTAAACAGTGAATGGAGTCTTTGTATTCATACAATTGTGTTTGAATGGGGTGGGGCCCAAATGTTCTTTGTGCCCAGGCCCTCAATAAATTTTAACCCGTCTCTGCCTGCTGTAACCCAGAGACTAGCACCCAGTCACTGGCAGAGAGACTCTGGGCAGCTGAGGGGGGCGAGGGGCAGCAAAGGCCCAGATCTCATTGCTTAGTTCTTTGTGTTATCATCCCCCCGCCCCCTGTCTTCTCTGCCTGCTGGGTGTGACAGCAGCACCCATATGGAGTAACGCCACCTGCAGCAGGGAACCTTGGGCCGCGTTGCCCAGCACACCAGGCCCAGCCGCTCCAGGCATTTGAACCTGGCGGAAAGGCTGATGTTCCAACAACCCAGCGGCTGAAAAATAAAACCAGAATAACAGAACTCTTGTATGTAGCTGCGTCTAAACCACATAGGCCGGAGCCCAGCCCCAGCTGCGCTGCCTGGGCAAAAGGGCCGGGGGTTAACCCCCCACCCCTGTCCATGTGAGCCTACTGGGATGGGGGGGAACACTCACTTTGACAGTGGGATACACAGCTATTTACCAGATGGCAGCAGATATTGGGACTCAGGAGTCTTGCGTCTGTCTTGGGGAGGAGACAGGAGTCACACCCGACAGTTGGGTGGCAGGACGCCCGGAGTCTATTTCTAGCTCTAGGAGGGGAGTGGGATCTAACGGTTTATAGCGTCAGAGATTTCAAGGCCAGAAGGAACCACTGTGCTCAGCCAGTCTGCCCTCCTGCAGAGCACAGCCAGAGATCTGTTAGACAGAGACCCTCAATCTTTATGGAGATGGAGAATCTGCCCTCCCCTTTGAGTCAGCTGTTCCTAGGGTTAAGTCACCTCCCTATTAAACATTGTCACCATATTTCCAATCTGACGTTGTCTCACTTCAGCCATTGGTAGCCATAGGTATTAGCCTGGTTAGGCATATGGTGAGGCAGAAATGCAATGAGCCGACACTTCTCAAGGCCTGGAAGATAATAGCTTAGCTAAATTAATTAGGGTGTAAGGCCCCAAAGCCTTAGAGTCAGGGCCGGCTCTAGCTTTTTTGCCATTCCAAGCCAAAAAAAAAAGGGGGGGGGGCCGGAATGTGCCGCCCCAAGATTGGCCGGAATGCCGCCCCTTACAATGTGCCACCCCAAGCACGTGCTTCCTCTGCTGGTGCCTAGAGCCGACCCTGTTGGTACCTCGGTGCGGTGAGAGTCTGGTGTGTCCTCGGGATAGACCGCCAGTGGCAACCCCAGGGAGGCCACGCCTCTTTGCTACACAGCACTACAAATTTCTGTCAACCTAAATGACATTAGCATACAGCCGTCGCAGTTATTACATTGCTTGTGCGTGTGCACACTGCACTCCTTGAGTCAGCGGTGCGTGTCCTCACCAGGAGTGCTTGTATCAATGCAGAGTGCACCATGAGTAGCGATCCCACTGTGCAACTCACTACCATTTCAGCACAGAGTGATTAGGGAAGTTTTTGAAATGCCTCATGGGGCTGAAACGAGTCACGCTCTGCAAATCCTGCAGACTCAGGCGCCCCGTGCTCACAATACTCACGAGAGTAGTGCAGAGCTGTGCATGCTCCATGCTTCTGTCAGAGAGGGCAGACTGTGAGAAGGGACACACAGGTTTTTGGGGATTTTGAAAAGAGGTGTGAAATATTATGGGATGCAGAACACTGTATTATGGGAAGTTGAACACATGCTCCCGGTCACCCCTGCACGTCCTCACCAGGAGCACTTGTGTCAATTCAGAGTGCAGTGCATGTCTGGAGTGGCTCACAACCACAAGTGCCTAACTCAGAGCAGACTGCCAATATCAGGGCCAACACCCCAAGCTGGTGGTGTGTTCGATAATTAGATTTCACCAAGCCAGTAACAACTGTGAACTCCTGGATCACTATACAAGCCTTACCATGGAGTCACACACAGTCCCCTTAGACTCTCCAGTCTATCCGGCCACCCAGACAAACTGGTCTTAGTGATAAATGGTCACTTATACCAACATTCAGGTAGCTTCCATTCCCAAGAGACCTGTCACCTACCCCAGATCACTTGGTACCCTCGATCCTGCACCAAAGTGATGCCTGAAGCCAATCCTGTAAGAAACTAGCTAAAGGTTTATTAATTAGGGGAAAGGACTAAGAGCGTCATTTACAGGTCAAAGCAAGCGAACATGTACAACCAATGAGTTACCATCTAACTCCTGAGAGTGACAGAATTGTTGTGATCTGTCAATTCAAAGCGTCTTTCAGGGCACCCCAGGAGGCAGCCCCTGGGGATCTCTGGCTTCAGTTTCAAGTCTCTGGCCCTTCAGAGTTCAAACAGACACAAAGGTGCCGTTTCT